CGGGGAGCGCATGCACCAGGTCCGGCCCCGCCCCTCTGCACTGTGGGCGGGCCGGAACCAAAGTGCTGCGGGCCGCGGCGCAGGGCGGGTTCCTGTGCGTAACGGACCGTCTAACCCGGAAGAGCTGGCAAGCAGGAGGTGCCCGGCTGCAGCATGGCGGGGCTGCGGGGGAATATTACGCTGCGCTATGGCGTCCCCATGCTGGTGAGCAGCTGCGGGAGCAGGGCCGCCAACGGGCAGGCAGCCTTGTGTCACGGGAGGGGTGGGGCCTGCGGGCCTGTTTCCGGGGCAACCGTGAGGCCGTGCGCACCTCCCTCTCTCCACCCCCGCCCTGCACTGGGCTCCCCCCCACCCCCCTCCGTACCCTGGGGGGTGGGGCGGGGCCGGCGTGGGGTCACAGAGCCGGGAGCGGTGGGGCTAGAAGGGCCCTCGGGAGGTCACCTAGGACGCTCCTGTCACATGTATATGGCACCATTGGTCAGTCAAGTGCAATAAATTGAGATGCGGCCAGAGGTGCTGAGCAGTGATATCCCAGGACCAAAATGACTGCCCAGCTGTCAAGGGTGCCAGCACTGCAGCCGTAGCGCTTGGACCGGCAAAGCGCCTCTGCAGCCAGTCATCATCCTGCTCTGCTTTGAACGCACAGTCGGGCCCCTAGTCCCACCAGCTGTCTGAGGTGGGATCATCCTCTTCCAAACCACCCCGCACAAACCAAGTGTGGGGCCTCTAGCAGAGCTAGCGGTCAGCCCCAGCACGGCATCACATATACACCCTGTCCTGCCACGGGGAAGGGGGGGGCACAATGTCCTGCTGCCAGCATTGTTACTATGCACCCAGGCTCCCTGCTGCAGAGGAAGGCAGAAACCCCCTCAGTCCTTCCCAGTCTGAACCCGGGGTAAACTAAACCCGGGGTAAACTTCCTTCCTGACCCTATATACAGCAATCAGTTGAATCCTGAGTGGAGGGGCAGGACTCTCCAGTCAGGAACCTCTGGGTTTAGGTCCCACCAGAAGTGTTGGCACAGCCCAGTCACAGTCCCCAGCCTTGGGTGCAGCCAGCACCCAGTGTCTGTGAGGGAGACTTAAAAGTATCCCTGACACATGTAGCAGCTTCGCAGAGGGGAGGGAAGGGGTTGAATTTCCTCGTGGCTTCTTGTGGCAACCAGCAAAGTGCAGAAGTGTGAGGAATACCCATAGTAGAACAAAGACATGGCTACACCTAGATCATCTCTGACCGTTCCTGGTCATCTCTGAGCAGTGGCTCTTCTTGAACACCTCCAGTGATGGAGAGTCTGCAAGCTTCCTGGGGCAGAGGTGTCAAACATGAGGCCTGTGGACTGGATATGGCCTTTAGAGCCTCATAATTTGGCCCCTTGTACTGCTCTGGTGACCCAGATGCTGCACCGGACCAGCCCCGTACGCAGTGCCTGATGTACATGCTGGCTACAGCACTTGCTGGAGCCAATTTTGGGCTGTGCCTCTTGTGGCACTTGTTTGGGCCATCATCTGGGGCAGCTGCTGCATGTGCTTTATCAGGCGTGCGGGTAGAGGGGTCCTTGGGCCTGATCCCTAGGCAGTGTATTTCACAGTCTCACTGTTCTAACAGTGAAGAAGTTTTTTCTGGATATCCAATCTAAGCCTACTTTGCTGCAACTTTGGGCCATTAGTCTGTGTCCTGCTCTCTGCAAAAAGAGAGACAAGGTGTTTTCCATCTTCTTTATGGCAGCCCTTCAAGTATTTTAAGACTGCTATCATGTCCCCCTTAAGTACCTTTTCCACAAGCTGAGCATGTCTGTTTTGTACAGCATCTTTTTGTAACTCTTGCCTTCCAAGCCCTTTATCGTTTTTGTCAACTGCTTCTGAGCCCTCTGTAACATTTCCATGTCCTTTTTAAAATGTGGAGCCCAAAACTGCACACAATATTCTGGATGAGGCCTAACCAGTGCCAAGTAGAGAGGCACTGTCACTTCCTGTGTCTTGCACCTAATGCTTCTATTGATGCATCCCAAAACCTCATTCACTTTTTGTGCAGCTACATCACACTGCAGACTTGTGTATTGAGTCTGTGATACACCAAGAGTCCCAGATCCTTCTCTGTAGTACTGCCATCCAGTGAGGTGTCACCTATTTTGTACTTCTGTTTTTGATTATTCTCCATGAGGTATAGCACCTTGCACCTGTCAGTATTGAACTTCGTCCTGTTAGCACCAGCCCAGCTTTCCAATATGTCAGGATCCTTCTGAATTGCACGCCCATGCTCTAGCATGTTCAGAATCCTTCCCAGTTTCATGTCATCTACAAATTTACTCAAGAAGGTTTCTAGGTCAGCATTCAGATCCCTTGTATACATATTGAACAGCACTGGGATAGACCCATATGGGACTCTGCTTGAAACCTCTTGACATTCTGACATGGATCCATTTATAATTACACTTTGCTTGCAATTATTGAGATAGTTGTGTATCCACTTTATAGTAGTTTTGTGCAGCTCATATAGACGGTCATGTGGAACTTTGCCAAAAGCCTTGCTGAAGTCCAGATAGACTACTTCCCTAGCGTTCCCTTCATCTACCCAAGTAGTTACTTTGTAAGAGGAGATCAGATTTGTTTGGCATGATTCATTGTTATTAAATCCATGGTGGCTGCTTGTGATCAGCTTTTCCTCCTCCAGATGCTTCCAAATGGACTTCCTTATGCTCCAGTAACTTGGGCACTTTAAATGGCGCCTTCTTAGAAACCTAAGCGTTGTTAAATTAATCGGTTGGAAGGATAAATTGTGTAGACCAGGGGTGGCCAACTGGCAGGACACATGCCACAAGTGGCATGGGCAGCCTCTCTGTGTGGCACACAGCAGATTGGGCAGAGTAGCATATTTCGCAGAAAGAACAGGGCAGAGAGCCAAAAGCTGAGCAGCTGGGGAAGGGGATCGGGGTTGGGCACTAGGGGTTGAAGACTGGAGTGGCACTTGGGGCTTAATTTGCGGCTTATGTGCCAGAAATTGGCCCTAACTGATGTAGACGAGTTCCTTCCAATCCTGATCATGGAGATTTGTGTGATTTCTTTTTCCTTGGCTTTTTTAGCTGCAGGTGAGCTGTGGCTCTGCAAAGGCTTGTCTCACATCCTGCCTGTGCATTTAAATGGAGGAAGAAGGGGCTTTTGTTTTAGATGTGTCATGTATCAAAATTATAGATAATGCAACAGTTTAGTATAGTTGAGATAAGAGAAAGATCAATGAATGCCAGAGGGACCTAATAAAGTGATGCAATTGGACAACATAAAGCTAAATAAAGTTCAGTAGAGGATTCTGTGTAATATGTAGTGGAAGAAATAATGGCTTGCTTATACACACTGTTTTAAGCATACACACAAGAAGATAGATTATGGTAACAAAGTGAACAGTTTTATGGAAAGGCTTGTGCCCAGCTGTGGTTATAGAAGCAAACTGAACATTAAGGTGAGTGCTGAATGGAACAGGCATTCATTCTGATAATTCTAATATTATAAAAGCTTTAGTCTGTCTGTCTGTCTGTAATGCTTTATTCACACTCTGATTTGTCGTCTCAGCAGCCAATCACAATGCTTACTGAAACAACCAGTTAGAGTGCTCTGCACAGACAGAAGCATCGCCATGACAGTGGGGACTGAGGGGCCGGAGGGGGAGCGAGAAAAGCAGGCGGAGTGGGGAGCTGCTGGCCATGATAGGCAGGGCAGTCCCTTTAGGTAGATGAAAAACCAACACCAAGTACCCATTAAGCAGGTTGGCTTTTTCCTGGGTGTCGGATGTCAGTTGTCCCATTTGGTTTAACAGGGGTCCAGTGTTGCCCTTACATTTTCTTCCAGTGCTTTTTGGAAGAAAAGTATAGTAAACATAGAGGGGTTCATGGGAAGGCAAGCAAATCCTAAAATCAAAGCACAGCTTCCTTGTGAGGATATTAAAAAGGATTAACTACTTAAAGAAGTAGCAAAGATTTAAAAAAGAGGCAAAGATTTGATCTGACAAAAATGTATATACACTAAAGAATGGTATGAAGAAGGTAAAGCGAGCGCTCTTAGTTATTCTTTCTCACAATGACCATTTAGGAATTTCAAAGAGGTTAAAATAGCAACCGTAAAACTAATAGGAATACTGGACTGGAAGAGGCGTCCAGTGTCAGGTCTAGTGCTGTTGCAGGCAACTGTCATTTAATCAGTTTAATAAACTGATGAGGCTCCCTCTCATATTTAGGTTTATTGTCCTCATTCATCCTATGGAAAGGCTCTTTCAAACCCTCACTCCTCTGATAATTAACTTCTAGCCTAATTTTCTTCATTGCCATTGTTCATTTACCAGCATTATGTTTTTTGTGTAGAAAGCTCTTTTCCCTCTCTGGTGCTTACCCTCCTGATGAATTCATAGACACCACTGCTACTAGTTTTTGGATCCCAGTGGGTCTTAAGCAGGAGCTAGGTATTGATCTGCTCAGACTGGGGCAGTTCTGGACATGCAGAAAAGATGTATGCAGGTGCCTCTGAAATTTTCAGGTCAGAGGGAGGTGCTTAGCAAGTTTGAGTGGCCAAAGGAACAAGGTTTTTTTTGGACTGCAGTCATGAACTTAGGTTCCTTAAGTATGCCTATGTTACACTTGGGGTCACCTAAATCCTCCTTTGGATCTGGACTGTGGTCCTTAGATCTGTCAGCTTTTTCATGAGTGGTAGAGTTGCTTAAGCAGGGCTGGAGTGTTATAGCTGTTATGGGCCAAGAAATGTCTGAGAGGAAAGGTTTTTCCATGATATCTTTTCTTGGGCCAACAGTTGGGTATCAAGTGCCCTTTCTCAGGGCACAGGTCAAAGTTGCTTAAAGAATTTTAACTGCCTGGAAATGCATCCAATTTGTCCTTCATTTGACAGCAAAGTGTGTGCCACTCTTTCTGAAGATCTCAAAGTGAAAAATACCAGGGTTGAAGCTGGTTAAGCATCTTTTTATACATACTGGGAGTGTCCAACACGTTCTAAGGGTCGTATCCGACCCATGGAGCTGTGTCAGCCAGCCTGCAGGGCTCCTACAGGGCCAAGAATACATGGCTGGGGCCTTCCGTTAAATTCTCAGGTACACAGTCCTAATCGGCATATGTGTTAGTGGCAGGGGGGGGGGGAAAGGGGGGGGG